CGGGTTGACAGCCCCACCTCCCTCAGCCTGTCCTCGTAGGAGAGGTGCTCCAGCCCTCGGATCATCGTCGTGGCCCTCTAAAACGTGTATATGAAAAAGAAACATAGAACCATAGGTTGGAAAAGACCTCTAAGATCAAGTCCAACCATCAACATGGAGATTATTTGTGGAAGTTGGGGTTTTTTCATTAGTGGGAGTTCAAACAGTGGAGGTGTGGGGTGCTTCCCTTGTGCCTTGGGTGTGTTTGGAAGGGAGTAAAAAGGGAGATGGCAGTGGTTTGGCTCGTCGTACCGCTGGTGACTGGCCCTGCTCGCCGTGTAGCCACCGGTAAACTCTGCGTATTCTAATGCCTGGGATTCAAATGAGCAGAGCCGGTTCGTTTGGGTTTAGCTGGGTTCTGCAGTGTAAACCCGTAATGAGGGGACTGTTCCCCGGGGCGGCTGTGGGCACGTGCTGCTGCCCGCTCCTGCCCGCCGCGCACGGCGATGCTCCCGCGGTCTCCGTTGTCCCCATCGCCGCTCTGACCTGGAGGTCCCTCAGAACTTGCTGCTCCTTCTATGTGCACCTCTCTGAACGCAGTTTGGCCTTGTTTCTCGGCTTCTTGGTTTGCTTTACCTTTGGAAAACCGCTCTCCTCCTCTTCCCCTTACTTCTGATGGCTTTCTCAAGGTGAAGATGGCGAGTCCCTTCGTTCAGCGTCTGACAGACCGCAGAGCAGAGGGCTCCACTTGCCTTCACCCACTGCGATTAGAATCCCTGGAGAGCCCTCAGCAGCACCTGAAGTTCGTGCTGGCGTCTCTCCCCGGGGAGGTCTCTGGGCCGTATACCTACTGGGTGATGCTTGGTGGGGGTGGCTTCTTCTCGTGCCACATCTGCTAAAAAAAGTGGGAAGCTGCGGGATCTTAGAGCAAATTCCCGTGTTTCCTGCAGAGGTGAGGTTGGCCATCGAAGTTATCCCAGACTTCACTGTCGTTCTAAATTTGACTTGGGAGATGGAAGCGTTAGCGTTTTGATAGGACCACATACCACGGAGGCTGAAAATTCTCTTTATACCTTGGGTGTCTGGCGGGTTTCCGCTTCCTTCTGTACGTGGCAGAAAGACCCCTTTCTGGTTGCTGGAAGGAGAGAGGAATTCCTGGCCGACTGTGACGTCTCCAAACCCTCCGTTCCTCTGAAGTACCAGGGGTGAGGTTCGGAGGTCTGCAAGGCTCCGAGGCAAAGACGGGTGGGTTGTGAATGTCTGTATGGACCACATAGCCTAAAGAAACCCTCATAACTGACAAATATAACCATTCTTTCTGAGCCTTCCTACGCCAGTTTATCTCAAATCTCACGAAATTTCGGCTCCAGTCTCCTTGATACCTCTCGCATCAGCCAGAAACCAGGGATGAGTCTGTTGTGTGCGTCTGCAGGATGAAGACTCTGCTCCCCCAGGTGAACAACGAGCGGTGTATCTTCATGAAATTCTGTTCTAGTGAGAAACTGGAGCTGAGCTAAGAGGTGTAGCTGCTGGGGGCAGGGAGCTGTGTGGTTACAGAAATAGCTGAGGAGCAAAGCTGCTGTGGAATGAAAACGAAGCAGGGGTGAAACCTAGCTCGGGAGAGCCAAGCAAGACGCGGGGGCCCGGTCCAGCCTGAGGCAGGGGCAAGCATCTCGCAGCTGTCAAAGTGTTTTAAAGGGCTTAAGGATAACGAGATCCTAAAAATATTAGTTTCTTTAAAAACAATAAGAAGAACAAAGTATGTTAGCTGTGGCCCTTCCTATGAGCATTGTTTTCAGAGTATGAAACTGTGGAGGATTTGTTGCGTTGGCATGGGCGTTTCAAATTATCCTCACTCGGGTAGGACTGCGTGACTATTAATGATCTTTAAAATAAATGCTACAAATTTTAGTGCAGTTAAATGCAGTTTTAGAGCTGGTTTCTTTGCTTTATTGGGGGGGGGTAATAAACAGCAAAGCCTGTCCTCAGATCAGCTACGGTGGGGATGGGGCTGTAGGGGCTTGAACAGGACCAAAGGTGTGGGTGGGAGCAGCGCGTTCCCTCACTCAGCAACAACAGCTTTGGGGAGGAAGGTACCCGAGGTTGACTCCTGATTAAAGCAAGCGCTGGCCACGTGTGAGTCATGGCAAAAACTGTTGTCCTGCCTCGCAGCTGCAGACGGAGGGGATGACCCAGCAATCTCACACCTTTCTTCTTCCCCCGCAGCTGACGTCTGGGCTTGTGGCGGTTTAGAGAAAACGCGTTCAACGGGCGAAGCCGTCGCCGGCGTTTCGTGCCAGCTGCCGTCCCGACGGGCACACGGGTCAGGCTTTCGCCGCCTTGCCATGGGGATGCCGGCTGGGGCTGCGGGGGCCGGGAGGCAGCGGCC